ATAAAAAATAAATTAATGAAAAAAAGAACAAATTTAAACAAATTAATTAATTAACAATCTACACAATTTTGATTATTCGGAAGGTAGGCCTACGACCTGCCTGTCTGGGACAACCCTGCAGAAAGACCGAGCTACTCGATAAAAATTCTCTCTGCTCGGGAACCAAACTCGGGTGTCATGCTTTCGACAGCAAACCACCTTACCGCTACACCACAGACGTCGGTATATACACACGTGAGTGGGTGGACTCAGGTGCTCGTTAAATTTTGGGCATGTGCTGTTATTCGTATCGTCTTAAAACTTGTTCCATGTATCTTGCTCTTGATGAAACAAATGACTACGAGCAATTTTCAATACAAGTTGGAATATTTGCGGTTGAAGGTGATGAAGGTCGCCTGATGCAAGAGGTAAAATTATCTAGAAAATGGCTGCCAAAGTTTGGTGTCTTCCAAAGCTTAAGTGCCCTTGGAAACTGCATTTTTGAATTGCGTGTGCCTTAGATCAATGATTTTCCAGTAAAATGTAAACAGAGATGTGTTTTTCAAAGGATATAAAAAATGTTGAAACAAAAAAACCAAAAAAACAAACAAAAAACAGCTTGAAAACTTCACAAAAACAAAAAAATGTTCAAGAACACCCACGCTAGGATTCGAAGCAGGGCCATTCGCTCAATAGTCCAGCATGACACAAACTGAGCTAATGAAGCGTCCTTGTCAAGTGTGCTCTTGGTAATGCTTACTGACCTCTCTCGGTGAGTGATTAGCAGGTGCTCTAGTGTGGTTTGCTCCTTCTTCCCTATTAAACACCTATCGTCCTTATATCTCCTCTATCTTTTTGGTGTTGGTTAATCTCATATAACACCTCTAATCTTCAGCACTTAGATGACCTATTTGTGTTAAAAATACTGTAAAACTCTTACTAAAACAAAATCTCACCTCTTTTTTGTGTTTGTTAATTACTTACAACTTTGACAGTATAGACCGAGCGACACTATGGAAGATAATGAGACACCACGGAATCCCACAGAAGTTGGTGAACCTCATCAAAAGCATTTACGAAGGGACAAGTTGCAGGGTTGTACATGATGGCCAGCTCACGGACAGCTTTGACATCAAGACTGGAGTGAGACAGGGATGCTTACTATCACCGTTCCTCTTCATATTGGCAATCGACTGGCTGATGAAGGAAACCACCAGAGGACACAGAAATGGTATACAGTGGACACCATGGACACAGTTGGACTATCTGGATTTCGCAGACGACTTGGCGCTTCTGTCGCACACCCAGGAACAGATACAAGCAAAGACTTCAGTATTAAACAGCCTATCGGAGTCTGTTGGATTGAGGATCCACCCCGGAAAGTCAAAGGTACTAAGGACAGATGCACAACGAAAGGAGCAGGTCACAATAAAAGGAAAGGCCCTAGAAAACGTTGAATCCTTCTGTTATCTTGGGAGCATAATTGACAGAGAGGCAGGAACAGGTGCTGAAATAAAGTCCCGCATTGGAAAAGCACAGGCTGCTTTCATATCTTTGGATAGGATTTGGAAGACCAGAGAGATCTCACTTCGAACAAAGCTGAGGATTTTCAATTCAAACGTGAAGTCGGTCCTGTTGTATAGATGTGAGGCAAGGAACGCATCGCAGACTTGTATAAAGAGGATCCAGGTTTTCTTGAACAGGTGTCTAAGAAAGTTACTGAGGATCAGATGGACAGACAGGGTCACCAATGTGGAAGTGTTAAGGAAAACAAGACAGATCCCAGTCAGAGATGAGGTAGGAAGAAGGCGGTGGCGATGGATTGGACATACTCTCAGGAAGTCAGGCAGCTGCATAACAAAGAAAGTATTGGATTGGAACCCACAGGGCAAGAGATCAAGGGGAAGACCTCGTGGAACTTGGAGAAGAATCACAGAAATCGATGTACAGAAAAGTGGGAAGGCATGGAATAACATCAAGAGGCTAGCCCAGGATAGAGAAAAGTGGGGGATGTTTGTCCGTGGCCTATACCCTGGTGCAGGGTGAGAAAGGCAATGATGATAATGAATTACTTGCAACAGCTCTAATCTTCGACACTTATAATATTGACATAATGGTGAAGCAAGTGCCGTAAATTTCGTACTTGATAAAACACCAAAACACACACACACACACACACACACACACACACACACACACACACACACACACACACACACACACACAAAATTAATTTAAAGCAGTACTTTCTTACCATCCCAGGTACAACGAGGATCGCGAGGTTCACGTAGACATGCACTACCGACTGAACGCCAAATTGTACATGGACCTGGCCAGGAAGGAAGTGGCGGACTTTGTGGGAGCGGATGTCGACAACTTGTTCTTGGTGCCCAACGCCACAACAGGTACCTTTGTTTGAGAAACTTTAGATTAAGTTAGTTTTACGGCACTTGCAAAACAATAAGGTCATATTATAATTTCTGAAGATTAGAGGTAACAAATACAGAAAAGTAGAAGGAGAGAAGTGGACGATAGATGTTTGCAATGGATCAGCCGGAGCAGGCCACATCAGAAAAGCCGGCAACTACAAACACTAATTATAAATCGAAAATTCGAAATTGCATTATTATTAAACATGTAAAATTTTGGAATTTTCGATTGTGTTGATGGGGCGTTAAACCCATTCATCTACTTTATTTTTACTTTACACTAGACAAAGTTTTGTCAAGCTCCTTTTTGTTGGTGGTTGGTTGGTGCTCTTGTATGGTTTTCTCTTTCTTGTCCTATTCACTGGAAAGCTATTCAAAAGGCAGACCCTTCGAATTCCATATCATGGCCAATCGGACCAAGCCAAAATGGAAAAGCCGTGTAAAGCGCCTTGATAAAGGACACAACATCGGTCTGAACTGAGACTCGGATCCCCGAAGCAGCTATCTTACGATCATAGGTCCAGTAGCCTAACAACTAGACCTCTGACCCTTCCCGTTTGTTTGTAGGTTGGTTTGAAATTATCTAGGATACCATTTTTAGTGTTGAAGATTTTACAAGCCTACCGAAACGAACAAAAAATAATGAAAATAGCATGACTGCTCTTAAAGCTTATATCTGTATTATTGATAATGTCCACAGGGATTTTTGTCTCAAAATATATAATTACTAGCTGGGCCCCCTTTCGATGAAAGGAATGATCGGTGCATTAACGTCAGCAGAAAGTCATTGGCCTATGATATTTACATTCTACTGGACTCGAGCAATAAATCTTGAGAGATGCACAAATTAGAAGGTTTAGATCTATACTCTCAAAACTGTGCGCACGGTTAGTGAACGGAAACCCCCTTTTCTAAATTTACAGAGACAGAAGCATCGGCCTACAAAAGCGATCGGCAAAATAAAGAAATTTAGCTTTTTGCAGCAAAACTGTCTCAAAACTGAAAAAAACAAAGGATGTCATGATCTGGGGAATATTTTAAAGAATCTTTTGGCGAAAACCGCATGTCGATCGATGCTGCCACTAAAAAGCCTTTTGAATAGCAAAATTCGGCAACCACAAATAGATAATACTAGCTGGGCCCCCTTTCGATGAAAGGAATGATCGGTGCATTAACGTCAACTGAAAGTCATTGGCCTACACTCTACTGGAATGGAGCAATAAATCTTGGGAGATGCAAAAAATTAGAAGGTCTAGATATAGATCTATACTCTCAAAACAAAATGCGCCTCGCAAAATATCACTTCCTCACCGGATATTCTAAAATTGCAGAGACAGAAGCGTCGGCCTACAAGAGCGATCGGCGAAATAAAGAAATTTAGCTTTTTGCAGCAAAAATGTCTCAAGACTGAAAAAACGAAGGGCGTCATGATCTTGAGAATATTTTAAAGAATCTTTTGGCAAAAACCGCATGTCGATCGATGCAGCCATTAAAAAGCCTTTTGAATAGCAAAATTCGGCCACCACAAATAGATAATAGATAACAGATAATAGGTATGTTCACTAATATGCATGTGGTCACTGAGGTGTGTCCTTGAGCAAGACACGATAACCCTAGTTAAAATTAAATAAAAACCAATGTACTGCAATGGCATGAATATAAAATTGCATGCATTGAAGTACCATTTCGTATTTAATATTATTCGTATGCATATTTGTACTTATTTGTGTATGTACGTTTGTCATTGTAATACAAATTTTCCCCAAGCGGATCTCTTCTGTCTGCTGGAATGATGAATCCGGCTCTGCCCTTGCTGGCCATGACAGACAACAGTTATAAATGTCGTTTGGGCCATAAAACAGACACAATCACGCTAGCAACTTTAAAATACATGTACGTTTAAAATTATCAACACCCCGTTGACATTATCTCGCTTTTTTTCTCATTTTCTCAACAAAACAGCTCTGAACTGTGTGGTCAAATCCTACCCATTCGCCAAAGGTGACGCTATCCTGGACACCACCTGGACCTATGGATCAGTGTACCTACTGTGTGAGGATCTGACTACTAGGATTCGACCAGGTGACCATGACACAGATATCTATCTCTATCTGTCTTAGTACCTCTTTGTCTGTCCCTATCAAGCTAACTACATGTATTAATTATTTTGCTAACTACATGTATGTCTGTCTCTGTCTAGCTATCTACCTATCTCTATCTGTCTTGCTATCTGTTTCTATCTGTCTAACTATCTGTCAATCTCTATCTGTCTAGCTGCCAATCGGTCTTTCTATCTATCTATCTATCTATCTATCTATCTATCTATCTATCTATCTATCTATCTATTTTCTTCTTGTTCCCTCAGTCTCTCCCCCTCCCCCTTTCTCTCTCTTTGTGGCGTCTGTAGTCTAGCGGTTAGGCTACCGGACTAGTAATCGTGAGATTGCGGGTTCGGGGGTTCGAGCCTCAGCTCGGTCCGACGTTGTGTCCTTGGGAGAGGCACTTTACACGAACTTTCCACTTGATTCGTTCTTATCGGAGACGGACGTTAACTAGGAGGTCCCGCCCCTTTAATAACCTAATAGTGTTGATAGGGGCGTTAAACCCATACCCCCTTACCATTGCACCATTTTTTCTCTCTCTTTCTCTACCATACTCACTCTAGTATACGTGTATGTATTGTATTTATTGACCAACCTGAATAAATTCATACATGATTATACCTAATTGTGGTTTGTCCGGCCAGCCTCGAAAATATTTTTACATTGAGAAAATGTAATAACAACCACGAACACTGATTCAAAAGATTGAAGATGTCATCCCTTCATAGGGGACGTCGGGGGAGGGGACAGGTCTTCATTATGTCGCCGACTTTCTCTCCCCTTGCTCTCCCCAAAAGGGAATAGTGGAGAGTCTTGGGGCCAGCTCCAGAAAGGTGACTCTACTCTGTCTACACCATAACACTGCTTCTTGCCCTTATTGCTCAGCGACAGAGAACGGGTACACTTGGCCTCTGTTCGTTTACTTGGGTGTCACCACTGCCTCCAGTTCTATATTTTACTTTACCTATTTATCCTCTGTTGCTGTTAAGCGTCGAGGGGAGATGCAGTTTTCTATGGAAGGCCAGCTCCGCAGCTCTTTCAGTTGTGATGTTATGTTTTCTAAGGGTTTCCTTGACACCCTCGATCCAGCTCAATATATCACTTATATAACTTCATTTCTTGTCCTCGGCGATATAGTGTTATCATTCTTGTCTTTCTCCCCCACAGATGTGGAGAGGGTCAAGTTAGAGCTCACATTCCCCTGCAGTGGTCCTGAAGAGATCATTAAAAAGTACGAGGAAACCTTCCAAAAGCATCCAAATATAAAAATGGCTGTAATTGGTAAGTAGCTTTCATTTTTTTATGTAATGTAATTTTTTTTTTACTTTGGTGCTGTGAACATTAATTGAGGCTCCAAAATGTTATTTCTGTTCACATAACCTACTTTTAAGACTTCTTTGTATTACTCTCGTGAAAGCGACAGGAAAAGTGTAAAACCTCAAATGACTAGACGCCATATACAATTTTAAAAATAGTTCCTTTTTCTGATCGCCTGTCTAATTTGTTGTGTTGTGATAATAATGATTACGTTTCAATTGACACATTTATCTGCGACACAGGATGTGTCTTAACTCTTTGAGAATATAGAGAATGTAGAAGACACATGAGAGCGATCTGGAGCAGACCAGAGGCCACGTTACAGCACATTTTCTTCTAATGCAGTTGCGACCGCCGTAATTTTTTTTCCAGACTGAAAATGATTTTCACCCCCTTTTTTTCTTGTTCGTCTTTCAGACCACATCACCAGTCCTTCCTCTGTGGTTCTGCCCATCAAAGAGCTGGTTGAGTTGTGTCATCGCCATGGTGCGCTTGCTGTCATTGACGGCGCTCACAGTGTGGGGCAGATACCTTTAAATTTGACAGAGCTGGGAGCAGATTTCTTCACCTGTAAGTCATGGGGGTGAAAAGATGAAAACACACACACACACACACACACACACACACACACACACACACACACACACACACACACACACACACACACACACACATACACACACACTCATACACACACACACATACACACACAAACACTCACACACACACACACACACACACATAATCGTCATCATCTTCATCGATAAAGACGAGAAAAATAACAATAACAAAAATAACAACAATAGCAGTAAAAATAACAACAACAACAACAACAAAACAACAACAATAATAACCCCCGTTTGCCAATGTCGGAGACACGAAGTTTAGATGGGTGGTCACTTGGATGTGTCCTTGGCCTTGAGCAAAACGTGACAACTCTAGCTGAATAAAAATCAAAAACGAAAACAAAACGGGGTGCTGCAAAATGGCCATCAACAATGGCATGTTTGTAGTATATCTGTATGCTTCATTTGTATGTATGTATTAATTATCATCTATTTGCATTCAAAATTGCTCTGACGGTCAACTATTTAAGACAATACAGACAGCCACTTCCCATCCCTTTGGGGGTGGGGGGTGGGGGGGGGTCACACTATGAAGAAAATATGTAAGACGTTAACCAGTCAAAGAAAACCTCTGTTCTCCTTAACAATGAGCAGCCATCTTTAAAAAATTACAACGGAGTTTATAGTGTTTTAAATAACTGTATCTATATATCTAAGAAACTGTATGAATAATATATGCTACATGATTGTAACCCCGCCCCCCTCCCCACGTGTGATTCATTAAAAAGTTGACGTTTCTCTCTCTCTCTCTCTCTCTCTCTCTCTCTCTCTCTCTCTCTCTCTCTCTCTCTCTCTCTCTCTCTCTCTCTCCAGCCAACCTCCACAAATGGTGTTACTGCCCGCGAGGTTCCGCCCTGCTCTACTGTGCTCCTCAACACACCTCCTGGCTTCACCCCACGAATACGTCATGGCACTTAGGAGGCTCTCTAGACATGGAGTTCTTTGACCTCGGAACCCGTGACCACGTCCCATTCTACTGCGCCAGAAACGCTATCCAGTTCTACAAAGCTCTAGGAGGCATGGTGAGACCTTTGGGTATCCTTTTAATGTTGAAAATGACCTTTAAACCATGCATTGCAGAATGTAGTAATATTTATGGCTTTACTTGTTTGACTTTTGGCTTTTGGCTGTACTCGAACAAACTAGAGGTAGTTGGTAATTGTTGGAAGATGCTTTGACTTTGACTTGATTTGCTCCTACTTTTCCTTCCAAACCTCTGCCGTCCATATGTCTCATCTTTCTTTTTTGTGTTTGTTACTCTTCTTTAATACATCTAACCTTCGGCACTTTTATTACTTTTATTACGTTATTATTGTGTTACATTTGCAGTAAAACGCTTATCAAAACATAAAACAAACAAACTGGCGAAGAGTGTTATCATTTTTTGCCCACCAGGAAAAGATAGTGGGTTACACGACCGGGCTGGCAGAGCAGGCCAAACAGCTGTTTGAGAAAGATCTAGGTTTGACTCACCTGGACATCCCAGCCAGCATGGAGGCTCCCAATATGAAGATGTTAAAACTGCCGCCATTCCGGGATTTCCCGTACTGTCCTGTGAGTAGTTCGCTATAAATAGCTGTGTGCTATTCTTAGGTAGTGTGTAGTCCCGTAAGGTTATCCGAGTAGTTGACAAAATAATAACTATACATACTTATCTTTGTGTTGTTTTAAAACATTATGTATTACTTAATCTCATGAATAGCAGCTGTTGGATGGGAAAGAGGGGAGGTCTGACAGGATGGTCCCTTTTTTCTTCTTATCCGCATCCGTAGCCTTATGTTAAGGTTAATCATTGCCACAAGCGTAAGATGTGGGTTCAATTCCTGCGTTGGGAGATCTATTTCATTGCATAAGACACATCTTCTGCGAGCGAGGGTGAAAGCACCAAACCTCCATACCACGTACGCTGATGGCTAAAGTAAAAATGATTAGCACATTGACCGTCTGTGTGTGATTAGTTATACTCCCAATAAAGCATGATGCCGACTGAAATATTAAATATTGTTGATTTCAGGAAAACACGTGGAAACTGATGGAGGCGCTGTTTGGAAACACCAAAATCTTTGGTATCCTTACACCGGTGGAAGGAGCTTTCTACTTTCGGTACTCGGTACAGATCTACAACGACATGGACGATATCCGAGCGGCCGCTGACGTCATAAAGGCTTTCATGCGGAAACATGCTGCTTAAATAGTAGACAAGATGATCATTTACGATCTGTGGTATCGTGGTGAAATTAAGCGCTTGTGAAAATAATGAAATCGAAGAAAACTTTAAAAAATAAAATCTTACCGTATTTTTTTTTCTTTTCTATTTTTTTTTGGGGGGGAGGGGGTGTTTGGGGTTAAATTGCCTTCTCTGGCGTTTTTAAACTCATTCCCTGTCGGTACTTTACTGAAATACATTAATCAAAGGCACAAAAAGGTAAATTAGCAGTTTCAAAAGACACTATACGAGCGTAGCTTTGGAAGTCATCATACTTTTGACTGCACTTTCTCGCTGATTTTACCTCTGACACCAGGCGACCTCGCCAATTTAAATCGCAAACACTTGAACTTCTGTTCCAGACAGACGGGTATTTTTCATCCTTAAGCAAGCAAGTTAATTAACAGGCTTTTAGATTACTCAATTATGCCAAAAACTTGATGAGTGCCTGATTCCTCGGCGTTGTTACAAATATATGGGTGTTGTGTGTGTGTGTGTGTGTGTGTGTGTGTGTGTGTGTGTGTGTGTGTGTGTGTGTGTGTGTGTGTGTGTGTGTGTGTGTGTGTG